TTTTTTTTTTTTTTTTTTTTACTGCTTGCTACGAGTTGTTCAATATCAGATATTATATATAAAACATACTTGACTGAGTCCAGCCATGTGGGTCTTATTTTAGCAATATTTTGTACCAGCTAGGGAAACAGTAAATGCCACAGAAAGCTCTTTAAATAAGACTTGCCACCTTTATTGGTAAGCGTTAATAGAATTGTGCCAAGTTGTTAAATCATTTCTTTTTTTTAAAAAAATCAATTCTTGCCTGTTTATGGCAATCTAAAAGATAAATATTACCGAGTTGACAAGAAAGTATTAGATCTGTTGAAATTACACAGGAAGGTTAATGTGAAGTAGTGTTTTGCTCAGGGTTTAATTTTCATTCCAGATTTGGCACAGATTTTATGATTTATAATATCTATTTTAGCCTTTCTTATTTTAATCAGTTAAATTGTGAGTTGCTGAAAAGTAACCAAGGATTAAAAACAATTGTAAAATGTATATTTTTATGGTACTCTTGTTGTTTAGACCTATGGTTTTTCCCCTCTACCTGACCAATTCCTCATCTAGGAATTCCTTAACGTGTGTTCCCAGACACCTGTTTCCTCTTCTGGATAAATGCAGCTACCATATTGTACTACTATTATTAGCTTGACTCCACCAGATTTTGAGATTTTTTTAAACAAACCTTCTGATTTATATAGTAAATCTATTATATTTATAGTGCATATTTGCTGAATTGGATATATAATGGGTGAGTGCATATGATTATTTAACTTGTAAAATTAGATAAGATTGTAGTATTAAGCCCCATTATCTTCACATGAACCCCGGTGAATATAGTAAAGTTTAACTCGCCATGGCTTCTTAAAATCTTTTGTTATTTTAGTTGCTCTAGAACTCATAAAGAAAACTGACTCTCAGCCAACCTCTGTGATGTTGCTTGATTTCATCCAGCATATCATGAAATCTTCTCCACTTATGTTTGTGAATATGAATGCAAGCCAGGGGCAAGATGAAGCCAAATATAGCTGTATTGGTAAGTGCTATTGTTACTCATGCATTTGTCTGCAATCTGTTTTATGGAATCTACCCATAAAACTGCTCTTCTGAGATCTGACATATATCATTGCACTTTTTTTCCTATTTTTTGTTTTGCTCTTTAAATTGTTTATACTTTGGGTTTTTCATACAAAAGAAACGATGCTATATTTAAATTTCTATGTCTGATTTATTTTCCTTAGCATTATAATTTCAAGGTGCATCCATTTGCCTACAAATAACCCAAATTTCTCCTCTTTGCAGCAAAAGCAGTACTCTATTGTATATAAATACTATATTTTCTTTATCCATTCATCTTTTGATGGACTTAACATGTTACTTCCAAAATGTAGCTATCCTGAGCTATGCTACTATAAACGTGGGTTTGCATGTATCACTGTAATATGATATCTTTAAATCTTTTGAGAAGATACTAGCTGAGTCAAATGGAATTTCTATTTCCAGTTTTTAAGGAATCTCCATCCTGATGTCCATAGTTTCCATTTCTACCAACAATGAAAAAGGATTTCTTTTCCACACAGCCTCGCCAGCATTTGTTCTTAATTTGAGTTTTTGATTTTTTTTTCTGGAGCAAGATGGAATCTCTCAGGGTCGTTTTAATTTGCATTGCTTTAATGACCAGAGATACTGAACATTTTTTAATGTATTTATTGGTCATTTGTATTTCTGAGAAGTTTCTTTGTGGGAGGGGGCAGTACTAGAAATCAAACTCAGGACTTTGTGCTTTCCAGGCAGACACTTGTGCCTCTGAGCTATATTCCTTGCCCCTTCTGAGAAGTTTCTATCATTTCAGCTGCCCATTTTTTAGTTTAGTCTTAATTTTGAGGATTTTTTTTTTTTTTTTTTTTTTTTTTGAGACAGTCTTATTATATACTTCAGGCTGGTCTTGAAAAGCTTACTGTGAAGCCCAGGATGATTCTAAACTTATAGCAGTATTCCTACCTCAGCCTTACTGCTGTGATTATAGGCATGGATTTCCATATCTAGCAAGTTCTTTATATATTCTAGATATTAATCATGTCTGAGGAGTAGCTGGCGAAAGGATTTTTCCAATTCTGTAGGTTGTCTCTTACTCTGTTTTCTTTGCTGTCAGGCCCTTTTTAATTTGATACAATCCCATTTGGTGACTTTTGAGGTTATTTCTTATACAATTGATATCCTGTTTAGAAAGTCACCTATTCCTATGTCTTCAAGAGTTTTACCTGTTTATCTTCTAACAGAGTAGATGTTTCTGGTTTTTAAAAATTTTAATGTATTTGTACAGGGTCTCACTGTGCAGCTTGGACTCATAGTGAGCCTCCTGTTTCAGCCTCCCCAGCACTGGGATTACAGGTGTGCACCACCATACCCAATCTTGGTGGCGGGCTCAGTGTGCCTGGGGGCAGGGCTAGCACAGCATGTGGTACCAGGGATTGAACCCCAGGCCCTGCACTTGCCAGGCCAGTGTTACTGTTTTATTTAAAAAGGTTTTTTTGAGACATGGTCTTTCTATGTGGTTTAGGCTGTTGAACTCATTATGTAGCCCAAGGCTGGCCTTAAATTTGCAGTAGTCTTCCTGCCTTGGTCACCCAAGTGCTGGGATTACAGGATTGTATCACCATGTTGGCTCCTTTTTAATATTTAGATCTTTGATCTATTTTTATTTTATTTTAGAACGTGATAAGAAATCTAGTTCTAGAGGCCAGGGAGATAGCTCAGTAGAATAAGTGCTTGCCTAGCAAGCATAAGGGCCTAAGTTCAATCTCCAGTTCTGCCAAAAAAAAAAAAAAAAAAAAAGCAAGCAAGAAATCTAGTTCTAGATTCAATATTATACATGTTAATAGCCAGTTTTCTTAGCAACATTTGTTAAAGGGGCTATCTTTTCTCCACCATGTGTTTTGGCCTCTGTCAGAAAAAACAGATGGCTGATTGTCCCTGAGGGTGTTTCAGCCTTGTCTGTTCTGTTCCGTTGACCCACATGTATATTTTTGCACTAGTGTTAAAACAAGATAAAATAGACTAGAAAAATATCATAGTACATTACATGTAATAATAAAATAGACTAGAAAAATATCATAGTACATTACATGTAATAAGAACTATTGGGGCCGGGAAGATGGCTCAGTGGAATAAGCACTTCCCTGGCAAATGCAAGAGCCTGAGTTCAATCTCCAGTTGCAAAAAAAAAAAAAAAAAATAACTACTGTTAAAACTTTTTGAAGCTTTTTATTTAAAATATTTATATGTATTTATATATACTATAAAATGTTTCTTAGTTATCAAAAAGTTTAAGAAACTACTATATGATTCAGAAAGATAACTATGATTTATTCTTATACACCTGGGGTAGAGTCACAACTCATTAATTTTTTTTGTTTTTTTCTTTGTTAGGGACTAAGCTAGGGCTATACATGTGTTAAGCAAAAGCCCTGCCACTGTAGCGTACCCTCAGCCCTGTCACTCAATAGGCATTATACTACCATTTGTTGAACATTTCTTATACTTTGAGAACTACTCTGAGTTTTTCGCATATATTATTTTATTTGATCCTCATCAAATCCATAATGTATATTATTTCTTAGGTGCAGAGAAATGCCTAGGTCAAGCAGTTAGTAAGTACTGGCTCAGACTGTGTTTATCTGATTCAGTGTTGATATTCTAAACTGCTATAATGTTCCCATTATTTAAGTAGCGTAGACTGTTTTATTAATAAAGATTATATGTTGAAAATCATCAAGCACTTAGCAAATTAACATTTCTGATATATTTGTTTATGTAATATCTTTTTTGTTTGTTTCAAAGAATTCAATAATTGGATCATAACAAGACTTTTGCGGATTGCAGCTGCTCCGTCCTGTTACATGTTGCATGGGAAAATCTCTGAAGTTATCTGTTCATTATTATTTCTTTTTAAAAGCAAGAGTCCTGCTATTTTTGGGATATTCACAAAGGAATTATTGTGTCTTTTTGAAGACTTCATATACCTCCACAGAAGAAATGCAATGGGAGATACTCTAGAATGGCCAGTGATCGTTAACAGATTTTTAAGCCACTTGGATAAACACATGGGATATGTACAACCAGCTCCTTTGCAGTTTGTGAGCATGCAAGATATAGAATTTGTTGAAGTCACTTTATTAATGGTTCTTATTCGCATTATTACAATTGTGTTTTTTAGAAGGCAAGAACTCATACTTTGGAGGATAGGTTGCGTTCTTCTAGAGTGTGGTAATCCAAAAACTAAATCCTTAGCAATTAGCCTTTTAACTGAACTTTTTGAGCTTGGAGGACTACCAGCACAACCAGCCAGCATTTTCTTCAGCTCTTTTGTAGAATTATTAAAGCACCTAGTAGACATGGACGTTGACCAGTTGACATTATATGAAGAGCCATTATCAAAGCTAATAAAGACAGTATTCCCCTTTGAAGTGGAAGCTTATAAAAATATTGAACCTGTCTATTTAAATATGCTGCTGGAAAAACTCTGTGTCATGTTTGAAGATGGTGTGCTTCTGCAGCTCAAGTCTGATTTGCTAAAAGCAGCGTTATGTCATTTACTGCAGTATTTCCTTAAATTTGTGCCAGCTGAGTATGAATCTGCCTTACAAGTCAGGAAGGTCTATGTGAGAAATATTTGTAAAGCTATTGTGGATATTCTTGGAGTTCAAATAAATGTAGGGGTAAGTAATTTTTAAGATTATTTGATAAGTATTTTTGTTCACTTATGTTTATGCATATATGTGAAGATGTAATGAGAAAATAGAGTGTCTTTAATACTAATGTGATTCGAAGACATCATGATAGTCACAGTCTAGTATGCTCCTATTAAGTATTTTTACTTTGATTTCAAAGTATTTGTTTTATTTAGAAGCCAGTGAACTGCAAGTGAAGTAGAGTATTTCAGTCTAGAATTTTTGATGTACAAGTGTGTTTGTTACATTCTTAATTGAAAGGAGGGGACTAATTATCAACTTCCTGATGCTTTGGTTCATCACATAGATTTTATCTTTAATAGGATATAATGAATCACTTAGAGATCCAGTAAATAATTTAGTCATGCCAAATTGTGTCTTTTTTCTGTTTAGTTTATGGGAGACAGGCAATATAATTAAATGTGCAGATGTGCATTTATTTGATTAGCATTTTAAGTTTAGTGTCTCTAGATCTTGCTGGATTTATAGTATGGGAAAAATTAGTAATTTCTTTGTAGACTTTTTCTTTCTAACGTGTTAACAGAAAATAGAATAGAGAGGATTTGTTTAAGGTTTTTGTAACTATAGAACCATCCTCAGTGTATGAACTATGGAATAATATAGGTTAACTTGGGTGTTTAGTTTGCATTATGAAACCCTGAAAATAGTTTACCTTACTAGAAAACATATCTCCCAGTAAATTCTTATTGCCTATAAATAGTATAGACATATTTTCTAAGAGTTTTTATAATTATTTTTTTTTTCTTAGTACTTGTTGGGCCCACTTTATGCAGCATTGAAAATGGAAAGTATGGAAATAATTGAGGAGCTCCACTGCCATACTCAACAGGAAAACCTCAGCAATGATAGTGATGGAGTATCCCTCAAAAGACGTAGACTCAGCTCCTCTTCTAAAAGGGCATCAACAGAGTCTGAAGAGTATGGCTTCATTATTGATTTGTTTAATAAAATTTTATTTACTTTTAAAAATCAACTTTAGTTAAGTACTTTGATTTAAATGCACACAATACTCAAAGAAAAGCTTAAAATCTTTCAGTGATTCTTATCATTTATTCTAGTAAGAAATATTTCATGGCTGAATATAATTACTTGGATTTTTTTATATGCCCGTTTAATTTAGCTTTTTAATATATAAAAAATAGGGGGCTAGGAATATAACTCAGCAGCACAGTGCCTGCCTGACAAGCAAGAAAGAGGTCCTGAGTTAATTCCTGACACATGCCCACAAAAAAAAAAAAAAAAAAAGTGAGACTGTGGATCCATCAGTAGTTTTTCTGTTGTAAGTAAATAAGTGTGTGTGTGTGTGTGTGTGTGTGTGTGTATGTTTTAATGTAGTCAAAGAATCACCATATTTCAGCCAGCCTAAACATTATTTTATTTATTATTTTTTAATGTATTTGGTTGTTACAGGGTCTCACTATGCAGCTCGGACTTGTGATCCTCATGCTTTCAGCTTTTGCAGCACTGGGATCATAGGCATGTGCCACTATGCCCACACTCTGGCTGGCTCTGCCCACCCTAGAGCGGGGCTAGGGCGGCATGTGGTGCCAGGGTTTGAACCTTGGTCCCTGAGCTTGCCTAAATTTACCGAAGCTTGCCTAAGCTGGTGCTTTAGTCCACTGAGCTATTTTGCCGGTCCACTCAACATTATTTTAAATCTATCCTATTGTAGATAGAAATTGATATTATATGGCATTTTTCTCTCTTAAATATGTTTCTGGTTTTGCTTGTTTTGTTTGTTTGGTTTTGGTTTTGGTGTTAGGACCTTGCACATGTTAAGCACACATTCTACCACTGAGCTATATACCGTTAGCCCATGTTTCATGTTTGAAGTGAATTATTTGAAAATAATACTTTTGAAGTGAATCACTTGAAAATAATATTTTTGTACTGTGGTTGTAATTTATTTTAGAATTATGAATGTGGATATGAGCAAGAAGAATATAATATGGAGTGCCCTGAGACAGAAAGCTGAATCCCTTCAGATTTCCCTTGAATCTAGCAATCTAAAGAAACCTATAATTGAGACTTTAGAAGGAATTGCTGTTATCCTACAACTGACTGCTTTGTCTACGGTTCACTGTTCTCATCAAAACCTGGACTGGTAAAATAACTTCTTATATTTTCAGAGTGTATTTCCTATATTGAATTTGGGTTTACTGTTTTAGGAGACCTCATTCTTTGCTTAATTCTTGTAGCATGGAACATATACTTTTTAATTTTCTGCTTAATGCCTGCTAAATGCTGGGTATTATGCTGGGCAATGTATACATCCTATTTAATTATGACAGGCCTAGAAGTGTTGTTATGCCCATTTTACAGATTAGAAATTAAGCCTCCCAAGGCTCTTTGCCTTTTTAAAAATTCATTATTAACTTTATTGAAAATCAAAAATGATTATATAGCAAATTAAAAATGGTAGATAAATATTGAAATGTGAAAGATATAAGATGTAGACAGTGAATTTTAGAAAAATATTTCTGAAATGAATACATAACGTGAGATTAATAATAGATTGCACATTGTAAAAATATTACTTAGAAATTTATATGAGCATAACAATAAAAATTGTCTAAAATAAACAGGGGTGGCCTAATAACTCAGTGGACTAAAGCGCCTGCTTAGGCAGAGTGCAGTGACTGGGGTTCGATCCCCCGGGGTGTCGTGCCAGCCCTGTCTCTGGGGCATGCTGAGACATCTAATGAGACTGGGCATGGTAGCATGTGCCTGTAATCACAGCAGATGGGAGGCTGAAAACAGGAGAATCACTATGAGTCCGATCTACGTAGTGAGACCCTATAGACCTTGTTCTAAATACAGAAAAAAATAAACATGAAGAAGAGTTTACAGATCAGTCATATAATAGTTCACTCTGTGCCAAAATCAAGAAACTTACATTCATATAATCAGAATTCTCAAAGTAGAATGGAGTAGGTAATAAATACTTAAAGATTTAAAATTTCTGAATTTAGTTAAAATTATACCACATTTCCAAGAAAAATTAACCTTTTGCAAAAGAAATAAGAATAAAATGATACCAAGATACATAGAAATGGAGTTGTCCAAAACTAGTTGTAAAGAAAAAAATAATTAAAGCATATACATAGAAAAAATATTAGCTATGGAAGAAAAGTTAAATAGCCATCTGCCATTATTCCACATTAGAAAAAAAAGATAAAACAAAGAGCAAGTGGGTAAGAAACTAGACTTAATTACTCAAAGGACTGAAAATGAAAAAGATCTGTCCTCATTGAATTTTATGCTTAGCGAACATACCTTTGAAAAATAGTTTCCAGTTCTACAAACTTGAAATATTCTAATTCCTCCAGATGTAGCATATAGAAAATAACAAAGATCATAATCCAGAAGGCAAGAGAAGTTGCTGTATGGTTCTGGATAAAGAATAAAGAGCTCTCAAAATAGTAGTTATGCAGGACTATGTAAAATATAATTATATTAGACGAACCCATTAAAAAGGTCATTGAAGATTTTGACAAAACAGTATCAATCTTAGGTTACATACATATTTTGTGTGTGTGTGTGTGTGTGTGTGTGTGTGTGTGTGTAAAAGACAAGGAAGAACTAATAAAGTCAATGGAAAATGGAAATATACTTTTTAAAGTTTCTAATACTAGGAGAAAATATCATACCATGTGTTCTAAGTAGAATGTAAGTCAAAGAAGCAGTATAAATAATAAAATAAAAATTGAAATCAAAGAAAATTAATTAGATATTAATTCAAAATTAAATATTTTAAAATAATATTCAAAAATTAAAATTTAATTTCCAACTAAGAGGCCAGAATGTAGTGTATCATATGTGAATCTGTGATCAATTCAGAGTACTCACACAGCATTTGATTAGGTTATTATGTACGAAAACATCAACCAAGGCTCTTTTTCATCTAATGCCTAAACTAACTTTCCTAGGATACAAAATTAGAAGAATTCAGAACAAATGTATAAATAAAAGTCAGTGTTCTTTTGATACTATGCTACTTCTCCCTTTGACAATAAAAATAGTTTAGAAGTCATTAGATTTTTAGTTTAGTATTCTTAACATAAATTTTCTACTAGAAATGCCAAAATGTCATTTTTCTGTTTTTATTGTCATGTTTTAGATCAGCATTCCTTCTTAATTTGTAACACTCATTTTGTATTTTCTGACTATTAACTAGCCAGTACAGAGTTGTAAGAGACTTTAATTTTAATTTTTAATTTTTATTTTTATTCTGATTCAGGGTCTTGCTATACAGTTCATACTCATAGTGATCCTCCTGTTTCAGCCTCCCTAGTGCTGGGATTATAGGGATGCGCCACCACGCCTGGTTTCGGAGCCAGCATGGTATGTGGTACTGGGGATTAAACTAGGGACTTTGCCCTTGCTAGGCAGGCATTTAGTCCATTGAGTTAGCTCCCCAGCCCTGTAAAAGAGATTTTTTTAGAGAAAATTTCAGCTCCATTAAATTTGAAATTGAGGGGGCTGGGAACATAGCACAGTAGAATAAGCACCTGCCTGGCAAGCACAGGGTCCTGAGTTCAATCCCTGGTACCACAAAAAAAAAAAAAGAAAGAAAGAAATTGAGGGCCAAATAAATAGATTTTTTAAAAATTAAAACAAAAATGAAATTGAAAGAACATGAAGGAATAGATTAGACTGAAGTTTACTCTTACTCTCTTAAGTAGGGTTTCTAAGTTAATAATTACATACACATATCGTCTATCATCTTTAGCTTTGAAGCCACATTTAAGTATCTTGAATTTAAATTTCCAGTTCATTAAGTGATGTAAACCAGCTTAAAGAGATTAAACCTAAAATAATAATTGACTTTAATTGACTAGCATGTTTATGTAAATTGGTTCAAGGTTATAGATTATGTTTTCATTGTTTTTGTTTATTAAATAGTGCTAGGAGGGGCTGGTGAGATGGCTCAGTGGTCTAAAGCACCTACTTAGAACAAGCTTAGCAAAGCACAGGGACCACGGTTCAATCCCCCAGCACCACATGCCAGCCAGCCCCGCCCCCTGGTGGGCTGAGCTGGCCACACACACACACACACACACACACACACAAAAATAAATAAATAAATAAAAATAAAATAAAAAGAAAGCTTCTTTAAAAAAAAAAAAAAAAAATAGGGGGCCTGGCCATAGCTCAGTTCTTTAAGTGGCTGCTTCCACAAAGCTGTCAGCCTCAGGTTGCTGTAGTTCGATTCCCACAACACTCCAGCCAGCCAAACCACACCTGAGGGCATTCAGAGTAAAAAAAAAAAAATAGTGCTAGGGATCAAACCCAGGGACTTACATGCCCTAGGCAAGTGTTCTAATTGCTCAACCACTGAACTATATCCCTGGTCCTATAGGTTGTTTTTGTAATCAGTTTCCTTAGGCTTTAACTATAAGATTATGCTTGACTGTAATAAAATTATCTTAATTCTATATCTTTTTTAAAAATGTATTTCCTATAGCCATAATTTCAAGGATTGTCAACACACATCTAAGAAGAAGCCTTCAGTAATGATAACCTGGATGTCTGTGAATTTTTATATAAAGGTGCTTAAGAGCTGTAGAAATTTGTTAGAATCTGTTCAGAAACCTGACCTGGAGGCAGTCATTGATAATGTAGTGAAGATTTATGATGCTTTGATTTATATGCAAGGTAAGTACAAATAAACAGTAGATCAAAATAACCTTAATCATTGAAGAAGTACTTTTGCCTAAAGCCTAAATGTACAATCTAGGAAACCTAGAAGTATTTTTTTTCCCAGTGAATTCAGCTTTTCAGTAATTTCTGAGTTCCAAATTTATATGTGTAATATTTTGATTCAAGGGCCTATTTATGCCAGGTCTGGTGGCACACACCCAAAATCCCAGCACTCAGGAGGCTGAGGCAGGAAGATTGTTGTCAGTTTAAGGCCAGCCTGTGCTACAGAGTGAGCTGAAGGACAGCTTGAACTTCATAGCGAGACTTTGTTTTAAAAAACAGAAAAGAAGAGGTCCCATTTCATTTATTTGGATTCATAGACTTCAGAACATCATTCATGGGACTAGCAATGTAGGCCATTGATAGTGTGTGTGCTTAGTATATGCAAGTCCCTGAGGTCAGTCAGCATCACGGAAAAGGGGAAGGAGGAGTGGAATTATTTGTGACCCCTTACATTAAAAATCTTCTTTTTTGAGGGCCCACAAGATAGCTCACAGGGAGCAGGGTTCAATCTCCAGTACCACATGCCGTGACAGCCCTACCCAGGCGCAATGAATCTGCCACTGAGATCGGGCATGGTGGTGCATACTTGTAATCCACACACTGAGGAGGCTGAAAACAGGAGGATCACGAGTCTGAGCTGCATAGTGAGACCCTGTACCAAATACATTAAAATAAAAAGTTTTGTTTTCTGAATGTGTATTACAATTTAATGTTTTGAATGTCTTTTTTTTTTTTTTTTTAAATATATTTAGTACAGGGTCTCACTACACAGATCTGACTCGTAATGATTCTCCTGTTTTCAGCCTCCTGAGCGCTGGGATCATAGGCGTGCACTACCACGCCCAGTCTTAGTCACCTTCACAGTATGCCCTGGGGGCGGTGCCGGCACCGCATGCCAGGGATCAAACCCCAGTCCCTGCCTAAGCAGGTGCTTCAGTCCGCTGAGCTATCTGGCTGGCCCTTTGAGTGTCTGTTTTTATTGAAAAAGATACAAAATTAGATATGATTGAGGAAAGGTATAATTAATGTCCTGTTGTATCTTGTATATTTCTATAGTAAAAAGTTCATTTGAAGATAATATTCTGGAAGATTTGTGTGGAATGGTCTCACTTCCGTGGATTTATTCCCACTCTGATGATGAGTCTTTAAAGTTGACCACATTTGCCACTAATCTTCTAACATTAAGCCAGAAGACTTCAGATAGCTTCTGTAAGTGATCACAAAAATGTGTTACATATTTGTTATGCTTTGTTTTAACTCATCTCTGTATAGTTTCTAACATTTATGTTTTTTTAGTAATTCAGAGATGATATACTTCTAATACTGTGATTTGGAAAGGAGTTGGATATGTAAGAAGTAACAAATGAAAGTCTGACCCCATATATCCTATTTTCTTTCTGTAAAAAGTTTGATATATATATTATATATATACTTACATATCTTTATCCTCATTTTAGAAATATACAAAATATTTACAAAACACAAAAAGAATAAGTAAAATAATACACCACGCACTTCTACACTAAGCCTACTGTAAAAAAAACAGTGTTAGAGAAATAATAGAAGTTCATTGATCATCCCTTCTCAATTTGATTTATTTTATTCTATGCACAGAGATAGCTATCATTCTGAGTTTGGCATTTACTATTCTGATGGCTGCTTCATTGCTTTTATTTTTTTTTTAATGTTTTTTTTTTTGGTGGAACCGGGGATTGAACTCAGGTCCTTGTGCTTGCCAGGGAAGCGCTTATTCCACTAAGCCATCTCCCCGGCCCCTTCATTGCTTTTAACACAGTATCTTTATCCTTAAATAATAACATACTGTTGTCTTTTCACAACTTGTATTTTATCAGTTAACATTATCTTTGTGGGACTTAACCTGTGGTGATGCTTATAGTTTTGATACTTGATTTAAACTTAGGAGTATTAGTAGACTCTATGGATAAGTACCTGTCATTTCTACTGTTGATGAACAATTACACTGTTTCCAATTGTTCAGAATCACAAGTTAAATTTTAATTGTTAAAAATAGATAATCTTGTGCTACAACCAGACCTACTGATTCAGAATCTGCATTTTAACATCAGGCAGTTTATGTGCATATTAAAGTTAGAGAAGCACTGTTTTAAGATAATAGCTAGGTGTGGGATTACTGGGTTGTAGGATTTGCACATCCTTAACTCTGTTCTGCTGTATTATCCTTTAAGGATGTGCCTACTTGAACTCCTGTTAGCAAAATATGAGCATTGCTATTATTCTAAGTTCTCAGTAATACTACTTGACATAGTAGGACTTTAAATATTTATTATCTAGAAAAAAGAAAATTTCATGGAGCTAACTATTCTAAGATCGTTATCTAATGAGTGTGATTTTTCACTTTGTGTTTCCCTGATGATTTAGTAAGGTTATGCTTAGTTCTTTTTCATTGTACCTGCTATTCATTCTGAAAAGGAGCTTTAAATTAAGTTAGATATTATATGTACTTCAAATGTTACTTGATTTCATAACATCCGTACATACAGTAAGTATGTATGTACATGTGTGTGTATAAAAATTAGTGCTAATACAAATCATACATAGTAGACTTAATATTTTTTTCAGCACCACAGGCACAGTCACGATGTATGTTTCTTCTAACTCTGTTTCCAAGAAGAATATTCCTTGAATGGAGAACAGCAGTTTACAACTGGGCCCTCCAGAGCTCCCATGAAGTAATACGGGCTAGTTGTGTTAATGGATTTTTTATCTTACTGCAACAGGAAAATTCTTATAACGCAGATGCCAAGATTCTTCTGTATGTATAATATTTTTATTTTAATATATCACTTATTTGGAAAGATAATTCTCTGGCTGTATGTGCAAAATTATATTTATTGCCAAATGTACAGAGCAAATAATGCTTTTAATTTTGGGGTTAAATGTTTTTTTTTTCCTTCTGAGTTTTGTCTTTATATTATAGTACCCATGTTCTAAATGAAGCAGGTATAAGACAAAAATTTAAGGAAAAATTAGTACTTTTTCTTTTTTTTTTCCCCCCTTTAGTGATAAAGTGAAAGATGATTCTGACGTTGTCAAGAAAGAATTTGCTTCTATTCTTGGTCAACTTGTCTGTACTCTTGATGGCATGTTTTATTTGACAAGTTCTTTAATAGAACCTTTTTTGGAACATGGACATACAGATCTCTTCTGTAAGACCATAAAAGCCACTTCTCAACACAAATGTGTATCTTCTCAATTAAAAGCTTCTGTTTGTAAGCAATTTCTTTTCCTACTGAAAAAAGAGATATCTAGTCCAGTAAAACTTGGTGAGTGACTATGATTTACTTAATATTTCAAAAATGGATTTAAGAGCCATTTATCAAATCAGTGATGGAATTAAGTAATTATAGAAGTTGAAGGGTTGATAGATTAAATGCTCCGTAATAATTATTTGTAAATGGAATGACATATTAGAATGTATCACAAAACCATAGAAGTGATTTTTGGATTTTCAGAAATGTTCTTGTGATTTGATAGTATAATGGAGAATACCTCATGATTGGCTTGGTATTGTCAGGCTCAGTATTCTGTATCTTCTTTAGTGATACCAGATACTTAATGCATCCAGTCACCTCCTCGGATCTTTCGAACTTCAAATAGGTTACCTTCTCCACCTGAGGACCTTATATCTTTTTGGCTACTTTGTAATGGTAATGGAATACAGGTTTATTGGAAGGATGATATCCATAGGAATATTTGGCAGATGAATTTGTTTTGGTAGAAAATTGTAAATTATTTTCATTTTCAAAGCAGTAGATTGTAGGTGGTGTCTAGGGTCCTATAAATCCTGTAATATTGACAGTAAGGCTAAGATTCCATGAGTTGAAGGTTTTTTGAGTTAGTAAAATGTATGTTTAAATCTATTTGCTACATATAATGTTATACAAAATCTCAGGACTAACTATAGCTTAAAAATTCTGGAATTGTATTTTATTTTTTTAATTAATTTTATTGAGAAACAAATAGCAAAGAGAAAGTTTCAAAACCGACTAGTAGGACAGTTTCAATAATTAATGCATTGCATATTGTTTGGAATTTGTTTTAGATTTAAATCATCTATTTTATTATTGAATGTAAAGGATATTTAAATATTAAATGTTAGCATATGAGGAAACTAGGAATTATTCATGGTATATTTCTTATTGACAAGTTTTTACCCTTGGATGTTTCTCATGTCAAATTTGACAATATAAATTCTCCTTTAGCTTTCATAGATAATCTACATCATCTTTGTAAGCATCTTGATTTCAGAGAAGAGGAAACAGATATAAAAGCAGTTCTTGGAACTTTGTTAAATTTAATGGAAGATCCAGACAAGGACGTTAGAGTGGCTTTTAGTGGAAATATCAAGTACATATTGGAATCCTTGGATTCTGAAGATGGATTTATAAAAGAGGTTGATAATTTACATTTTTAACATTTGTATTTTCATAAATCTAGTTCTAAAAAGTTTTAACCACTTAATTTTATTACTCTAGCTTTTTGTTTTAAGAATGAAGGAAGCATACACTAATGCCCAAATATCAAGAAATAATGAGTTGAAGGATACCTTGATTCTTACCACAGGTGATATTGGAAGGTATATTTGGCAGTTTTTATATTCTTTTTTTATTTTAGTCATTTATTTTTATTTGCCTATTAAATTTGTCACTATTAAAATAGTGACAGCTATGATGATAGCTCCCCCATGGTGATATGAGATATATAGTAAAGTAGGAAAAAACATGGAATTCAGTATATATTTTATTTGTGGATTTCCATTGGTTTTTGAGATATTGAGTGTATATGTGTGTGTGTCTTTTAATTTTAGGGCAGCAAAAGGAGATTTGGTACCTTTTGCTCTCTTGCACCTATTGCATTGTTTGTTATCCAAATCAGCATCTGTCTCGGGAGCAGCGTACACAGAAATTAGAGCACTGGTTGCAGCTAAAAGTGTTAAACCACAAAATTTTTTCAGTCAGTATAAGAAACCCATCTGTCAGGTGAGTATCAGTACTTTATTACAGTGGCTGAGGAGGCTGATGTGGGAGAATAGCTTGAGTGTAGGAATTTGAGACCAGCCTGTGGAACATAGACTCCATCTCAAAAAAGGATGTGCACTTTTTTTTTTTTTCCGGAACTGGAGATTGAACTCAGACCCTTATGCTTGCCAGGGAAACGCTTATTCCACTGAGCCATCTTCTCAGCCCCAACTTTTTTTTAATGCTTGCTTTAAAAATTTTTTAAATGATAAATTAATTTTTTTATTTTTTATTTTTGTTATGAG